ATCATGGCGGTGGAGGGCAGTTCGGTCATTTCGATGGGGGGGGCAGATTTGGAAATTTGCGGGGAAGTTTTATGGCAGGGTTGGGCGTAATCTTTGCCCGCGCGGATTCGAGGGTCCACCGAAAACGAGATTAGTGTCCTCCTAAATGCAGGGTCAGAGAGATAATCTCAAGATAATCTACCTCTTCAATGAGATTTTTGATTGGATTTTTTTACGTAATCAATCCACGCATTAATATACCTAGTTAATGTTGCAGATTCATTGCTCCTTATGTGCTGGAAATTAAAAAAACCTCAAATCAGTATACCCATGAAAAATTTACCCCAAATTAATTTTTTTATCACCAACAATTCTTAACCGGTGACAAATTTATCCTCCATCAGTTTCCGTTAAATTTTACCGTTAAATTTATGAGTTGGAGACACGTGATAGTGGCGGGTGTAATAATTTGGGGTTTTACCTTCGGTTTGTCATAGGTATAACAGTTTGTGATTTTTTGTGATATTAATTTAATTTAACGGAGGGTAAATTTATCACAAATATACCAAATTTGGGATTTTTAGGGGTCAAAAAATTGGTTTGGGGTAAATTTATCACGAGTATACTAGTTTGGGATTTTTGGTGGTCAAGATATTAGTTTGGAGTAAATTTATCACAAATGTACCAGTTTAGGGTTTTTTGTGGTATTGACCCTTTCAAATTTTCAACACATAAGGAACAATGAATATCAATAATTAGAAAATTATATCTACTTTTTTTAAAAAAATTAATATTTTTTTATTATTTAACAAAAATGAGTCAATGATAAATATTTTCATCATCAATGATATTTTTCTGTATGTTTCATTGAACTATACATGAGCCTATTTATACGCTTTTACAAAATGGCTATGTATAGTAACATAATATTACAATCAATCGAAATAACAAGATTATGATTATGAGATAAACTCATAATCAGAATAACGAGATTATGATTTAAGATATTATTAAAATCAGACAATATATTTCTAATAAGAACTATTTTATATTATTAGTGTCCACTTTTTTAATAGGATATTAGGCATTTTCCACTAAGCAGAAACTTATTAATTCCTCTAATTTGTATCTCGTGGGTAAAAAGTAAAGCATACCCGTCCTCTATGCCTCTGTAATCCTTTTGATAGATGATGATGTGACGATGGCCTGCTGCTCCGCCCCCAAAAAACCAACGGTAAGTAGACATGGTCACAGTTCGGAACCGGTCGGTTCCGGTTCGTGGCCATGTATGAACTGGAACCGGCGGTTCCGGGCCGGTTCCAGTTCCGGCCCAATTCGGAACCGGCCGGTAAAAATTAAAAAAATAAATTATGAAATAAAAATAATGAATTATTAAATTATGAAATAATGAATTATTCAATATAAAATGTAATCAAAATGTACATTGTAATCAAATTTGGGAAAAAAAAGAATTTCTCCACTTATCTGCAGTTTTTTTTTTGGAACCAGGCCCGGAACCGCCGGTTCCAAAATTGTTGGAACCAGAATCGGGCCCGTAGGCCATGGGCCGGTTCCAGTTTCGAACAGCAGGCCCGATCAACGGGCCGTTCCCGGGTTTGACCTCGGCCAAAACCGGCCCGTGGCCATGTCTAACGGTAAGGATGGGTCCCTTCCTTCCATGTCGTTTACCTCCCAAAGCAACCAAAAAAAAACAAAAGAAAGATACAATGACAAAAACAGTCCTTGAACTTTGAGTCTTTAACTCAATATGCAATATAGTCTCTGAATTTTTAATTTATTCAATATAGTCCATAAACTTTAGTCTAATATTCAATGTGGTCCCTAAACTTTTAATTTATTCAATGTGGTCCCTGGACTTTTGATATATGTTCAATGTGGTCCCTGAATTATATGAAAATGTTTAATTCTGTCCCTGAACTTGAATTAATAGAAGGACATTGAACAAATTAAAAGTTCAGGAACCACATTGCACATTGGATTAAAGTTCAGGGACCACATTAAATAAATTAAAAGTTAAGGGACCATATTGCACATTGAACCAAAGTCCAGTCCAGAGACTGTTTATGTCATTTAAAAAAAAAAAAAACAGATGAAATTTAGTGAGCCTTCTTACTCTTCTATCCTTCTATTACATAGCAGGAAAGAAGATTTGGGCAGCTGTGTCATCATCATGTGTGAAAAAATCACATGGTCTCTGTTAGCAATGGGTCGACATGAGGGCTTGATGTGATGTGCATTCGATCCTGATCTGAAGATTTTGCATGGAGTCCGCGGCGATCGTCATCGATGTTGTTGGGTGAAGGTTAAAGCTGGTGTAAGTCTAATCAAGGTTGGCAATATAGTAACGATGCACAAGGATTCTCAACGATTAGGAAATAGCTCGTTCCCCTCTCATGATCGAATCATCGCTTACATTAGCTCAAATCCAATAATTGGTATTCCGGCCAAAATCCTACCGCAATTGGGATATGTTGTCGCTTTTAAGTGCGCCTTAGAGAAGCATCCATATTGGAAATGATTTCTGCTACTATTGCAGATGATGAAAAATATCATGTGTTGTGTCTTGTACATGCTAAGTAGTTGAATTTCAATTGATTTTCCGTACACGCATTAACAATATACTTAAAGCATACGTGACATTTTAGCTATACATCTAGTTTCATATATGTTGGCTCAGATATTCAAAATATACTTTTAAATTCAAGTGAGTGAATACAAATATAATTCGGGCAGCTTATCAAATAGATGAGTAGAAATAGAGAAACGATCGGGCAATTTGGCAATCCCACCTAATCAGGGATATATACCCCATAGGCCTGACTTTCCAATCGACAACCAGGCTAGACCACCATCTTCGCCTAGGGGCAGGATGGTTAGGCACTTCAAAGCCAAGATGCCCAAGTACTTCAACAGATAGCCAAACAAGCTACTGGACTGGTAATGTAGCGCATGGGATATGGAGGAGGAGTTGTCGTGCCCATGAAAGAAAACCACACCCGGATTGGGTCGATACCGTTTCGTATATAAGAGGTTATAAAATGCCTGATTTTTTAGTGTTCACTAGTGAAGACGAGCAATCAACAGTGGAACACATTAGTTGTCTTGTGGCTCAATGCAGTGAGGCAAATAATGAGGATCGTCTGAAACTAAGGTTGTTCACGCTATCTTTATCAAAAACTGTCGTTACTTGATATACCAATTACCGACCAACTTGATTCATAATTGCGATGAAATGGAAACACAATTTCATGCTCAATTTTATATATTGGACCCCGAAGTGACTATCACAGATTTGGCTGTGATTGAACAATAACAAGTCGGTAGACCAATACATTACTCGACTTAAAAAATCGAGAAATCAATGTCTCACTTCACTCATAGAAAAAGGAGTTTACTGCATTGGCTTTCAGTGGTTTAAAATTTGCCTTGAGGGAATGATTTAAAGGCCAACCATTTAATGATTTATTCAGTAGACATTGAGGGTGTCTAAGTAAAAAAATCTTCTGAAAGAAAAAAACAGGAAGCCAAACAAGGATTGCAAGCCGAGTGTGGCTTTGGTCGATGATTATGATTTGAATTCCAATGCGGAATCGGGTCATGAAAAAGAAGCAGAAATAGCCGTGGCTAAAATGAATCTAGACAAACCTTGCGTCTGTCAAGTTTTAAGGCCTACCAGAGTAAAATAAGCTTTTATGCTAAGAACAAAGACACCTAGATTTTTTCGTTCGACGTGACCAAGCAAGATGAAATATTTGATTCACTTCTGAAGGATCTTTATAAATTAACTGAGGGCCAAATTATTCCGAATAGAAGAATTAGCAAAGAAGAAATATTGCAAATGACACGACTCATGAAGACATAATATACTACTAATTACATTATTTTTAAACGAACTAGTCAGAAATATTACAATTGAGATTGATAAGAATAAAGTTAAAGTCATTTTAGGATTAACCGCACCGATGGCTAAGAAGCAATTACAGACGGTGATAAGAAAAATTAATTTTCTACCTCAGTTTATTGCTAATTTGTTGCTGAACAGCTGGTTACAGGACGAATTAGGAAAATGGCTTGTGGCTGATAGACGTTGGACAAGACCTTCTCCACAGGAACTGCAATATGAACCCAAATTAAAAATGAATAACAAATATGCAGTTAGAGACCTGAGGAAACTCCTTAAAAGTATGACGACTTTGCTTCTTTAATGACCTTAGTTTTTCTGCAAGTAAGATTCAAGAGGCACAACGAGCACCTGGTCTGCCATGTGAAAAGTAGACGGCAATTTCTCCTTCTGATGACCCCAAGAGTATGCAATCCATTAGAGAAAGAGGGAGAAAATGAAAAACTATCTCGGCCATCAATGAAGTTCAGTGAACAAGAAAGAAAATTTGTAAATTCATCAACAGGAAATCTTTCAAAAGAATGAAGTACCAACTACTAGAAGGCGTTGCCAATAAAACAACAATCTATAAATTGAGAATTTAGTGTTTCGTCTTCACACAAGAGAAAAAATCCGTTTTTAATGAGAAATAGGTCTAGTCCCACTTGAAAATCTAGATCTGAGCTCATATGTACATTTGCGTTAACTTAAACGGTACATCAACACATGCAAACTTGAAGATCAAATTCAAATCTTACGTTGTTGAAAAATAGAGGAGGAGCTTATTGACCATTTGTTGTTGAAGTTGCTGAGGGCCAAAGTTCTGAGGAAGGTACATGGGAGGACCTAAGGTTGTTCCTTCTGGATCCCACCAACTGGCTCATCACAGTGTTAACGTCTCTCTCTGCTCTGCTTCCACCTCCATCTTTCCCACAACAACAACCAATTTAATCTGTCTCTTCTAACCTCTGATAAAAATCGAAGCTTTAACCGATCGATGATACTGGGAGTCCGTAGATAAATCGAGAAGTAAGGCAGATTCTGAGACAGTACAGGAAGTGAAAACGAGGGTTCCAAGGATTTAGGCGTGGCAACGATGTCTGATGAAGTAACCCAACTGGCCAATATAAAACTAGTAAAAAAAGAAAAAAAAGAAATAAGAACAGACAACGGGGAATCTCCAGTCAAACTCCCTTCTCAGAGGACGACCGGATGGTGATGATCCGATGATGCTCTGTCCTCTCTTTCTTGTCAGAACAGTTCTCTCTCTATACAGAAACACTTGAGAAACCCAATTCGTTTCTGTTCTTTAACCATGTCCGACTCCAACATGAAGATTTCGGCGCTGATATTGCTCCTCAGTGTGATAACAACAACTTCATCAGCGTCGTCGCCGGATGTCCTTGACTCTCTGCTCGCCCGACTGGAGTCCAAAAGGGCATCCCCATCGGTTCAAGAAACGGCGGCCGAAGGCGTTCTTAAGAGATTGCTTCCTTTCCATTCACAGAGCTTCCAATTCAAGATCGTACCCAAGGTCTCATCTTTTTCATTACGCACGATGCTTATCCAATTTATTGCCTCACGTCCTCAGGAACGAAGTAGAAGCTGAGCCTGTACTCTCTTGAGTTACTGTCAAGCCACAGCTAATGAACTGAGGAAATGTGAAAAAGTTCAGTCTTTTGGTGACCCTTACAAAGCACTTTTCTCATTTCCAATTCAGCGGAAGTAATAGCTTTAAGAAAATAGTAAGTTAGCCGGACCCAATTTATGGTGTCTTGACAATAGGGCGTTGTTTTATGTGTTGATGAAGTGAATTTGTTCCCTTCAGTGATGGCGTCAAAATTCCCACGTTTGCCTCGGAGCACAATTCACTCTAGTGTATTGATGGTCTCCATAAAATTGACTTACGATGTTGGCAATGAACTGTCTTTAGATTTTTCAGCTTAAGAATATTTATGTAGCTTCTGTAGCCTGTAATTGCTTTCATAAGCTATCTATTAGCAGTAACAATTAGTTGAACAGTGAAGATGAATGATTTGTGCTCACCTGAATGACATAGCAAATGATCAGGTTAAGAAACTGTCCCTTTGCAAACTTTTTTACTCATTGTCTTCCTGACACATGATAGTCACATGAGTGTAACTGTCAGTGGTTTGTGCTCACTTTCTTTCAGCTTTGCCTATCAGGATGTTTGTGGTGGAACGAACTGCTTTTTGATTGAAAATTACGAGGAGAATGATGGACCTGAGATAATGTATGTAGTTATTGTTCTTGTCAAGTGGAGCATTGTGCCTTGCTGTTAGTTTGTGAGTTGTGCATTGTTGAAGCTCTTTTTATTTGTCTATTGCACTGCAGGATTAAAGGTACCACAGCAGTTGAATTAGCATCTGGCTTGCATTGGTACTTGAAGTATTGGTGTGATGCTCATGTTTCCTGGGACAAGACTGGTGGCATACAGGTAGCTTCTGTTCCTAAGACAGGATCCATGCCTAGGCTGACGCACAATGGTGTGATGATTCAGCGACCCGTCCCATGGAACTATTACCAAAATGCTGTTACATCAAGTTGTAAGTATTCTTCACCACGGGACATCGAGGCTTTGATGGTATTACTAATGGCAAGTCTAGTAGCTAGTTCGTTATGCTTGAGATAAGTGAAGCAAAAAAGTTTTTGACAGTTTTTCTGCTTCAAGGAGCTAATGATTTGATGTCACATTATTCAACGTAGATTCTTATGTCTGGTGGAATTGGAGTAGATGGGAAAAAGAGATAGACTGGATGGCTTTGCAAGGAGTTAACCTACCATTGGCCTTTACTGGACAAGAAGCCATTTGGCAAAAAGTTTTCATGGTAACCATTCAAATGATCCTGTATGAAATTGGTGACCAATGGAAAGCAGTTCTTACTGTTGATTTCGCCGTGAGGACTCATACTGATTGATAAATAAATAGATGAATTTACCAACACATGATCGAGTGATCTGATGACTATTTCCATTACCTATCTGACATTCATCATCCAAAAAGAAAATAATAAAATAAGTTGCCATAAGATGGTCTTGAAATGTTTCTCCTGTTTCTTTATGGCAAACTGATGTAATTTGTTTGTTTGTTGCTGTTGCTTGAGGAGTGCATATTTGAAATTTAGCAGATGCCTGTTTATACCCAATTTCCAATACATATTTGAGGTATTGACTTATGAATATGTAATTGAGTTGGTGCAATAGTCTGGATCTTCAAGTAATCAACCTTTCGTGTTTGCAATTGCGATCTGAGGTTTAGTAAGTTGTTTGTTTCAGCTTTTGTCCAGTTATAGCCATGCCTAACCGTGATAGGCTTATCTTGCTGATTTTTCCTCTTTTTTGTAGGATTTCAATATCAGCAAGGATGAACTAAATGACTTTTTTGGTGGACCTGCGTTTCTTGCATGGGCTCGCATGGGAAACTTGCATGGGTAGGTAGAGGAGTTGTAATTTCTGGATCTTCTCTCTTTCTTGGATGATGATAATGGAAAAGAATAGGGTAGCTAGTTGAATAAATTTAGGAGTATTTTATATTAAATGGTGCTTTAGACTACGTTTAATACTATGATTCTGCTAGCTAACTCATTGCTCCGCCTTGATGTGCAATATAATGCATTTTGTTCTAACTTTGAAGGCTTTCTTTTCGTTATCACAAGCATTTGGCTTCTAAGGTGTAATAGTTATTTCTTCATAGGTGGGGTGGCCCATTATCACAGAACTGGTTGGATCAACAGCTGAACTTGCAGAAACAGATATTGTCTCGGATGTCAGAGCTAGGCATGGTTCCAGGTATGGAAGAATTCTTTTCAGTTTAGGATTCCTGATAATTCAGGTATCCTCTCAGTGGGATTATCTATGATAGAGTTGGAGCAGGGAAAAGACCGAAAACTGCCGGCAAAGGGACTTTTAGTTAATGTCTATTGTCTGTCTGTCTGATCATGCTGGTCATGAGACTCATGATATGTATTGGTGTTCTTTCAGTTCTTCCATCCTTCTCTGGGAATGTTCCGGAAGCATTGAAGAAGATACATCCTTCAGCTAATATAACTAGACTTGGGGACTGGTATGTCTATTTTTCTGTTTGTCATTTCTCAATTACTGAGTTTGATGACCTTTTCGCTGTATTATGGTCCTCCCATGCGTCCCTTTTGGCTTCCCACTTGGGCTAGGTAAGTTCTTCATTTAGATATAGTTTTTGTGAAGATGCTACATATGGCATTTTTTAATTTTTTTTTTTTTGCCAATTTAAACTATCTTGAAGAAACAACAAACCTTGCGCTTGCATTTGCACATGTTAACAGGCCTTTTGCTTATTATAGTTTTGCTTATATAGGAATACTGTTGATGGTAATCCAAAGTGGTGCTGTACCTACCTTCTTGATCCTTGTGATCCTTTATTTGTTGAAATTGGGGAGGCTTTTGTCAGCAGACAAATTAAAGGTGCAGTTCGAAAGTTCTTGTTTTTTTTTTGCAGCATTAGCCTCATGCAATTTTTATGTGTTGCTTCTCATCTTAGAATCTGATGATCATATTGTGGTGACAACTTGGAAACATTTTACAAGTAATGGCTACTTTGTGCCTCTGATTGCATAGAATTACACATGGAGGCTGGGGGATTACATAGTAAGCCATAAAGCCCATCCCTTAGTATAGGGTGTGAAATAGAGACATAGGGAACTGGTCACCTGTACTTATGTTTATTTTTTTATATTCTCAGATTCTTCATTGCAAAAAGTTTTTCAGCCAGGGCTATATTCACTCTTTTTAGTTTATTGTCAGCTGATTTGACTACTCAATCTTGATTTAAGCATTTCATATCGTTTCTCATGCTAGACGAATGTGTAGGGGAAGTATGTTGTTTTATAAAATTAAGTGTGGCTCATTTTACCTTTCAATGTATTTTGTCTATAAAATTTTCTTTAAAAGAAACTAATTTTGCAGTTTCTCTTCTGTGTCTAGGTGATGCATTCCTTAAAGAGGAACTCTTTCTCTGTATGTTGGGCTTTTTAGTTAGATTATGTTGTGTCAACTGTGGAGTTTTGCTTTAAAGAGGGGAACCGCTTGACGAATCTGATATCTTTTCAACAATTTCACTGGCATGCTGGATCATTGTGTTGTTCATGACTATATCCAGTCTAGTCTGCATTAATAATTTCTCGCCAAAGATGCATGTGGTGTTCTGACCTCTATTATTTTTCACCACAGAGTATGGGGATGTGACAGACATCTATAACTGGTAATGTCTCACCTTTGGCTTTTATTGAACATTTACGACATGAAGTATTTGTGTATGTTGTCAAAGTGAATTTGTTCCCATTTCTAGTTGCATAGGTACATAAAAATGCAACTTTTCTTTCTTTCTTTTCCCTGTTGTGCCTTGTTTGGATGAGTCTAGGATACTTGAGTAATGCTGAGGATGTATAGTATCTTAGGCTTGTAGCACTGACTATGATGACAGGCTTTAGATTGACTTCTTAATGGCATAATATGCTGTCTGCTAGGTGCATTCTGGTGATGATTGTTTATTAGAACCTCCGATATTCACATGAGGATGCTTTGGAAACATGCAGCTGTGGATACCCTGTAGTTTCTATTGAAAATATTCTGTTTTCCGGAAGGTGTCTGGTAACATTGCATTGTTCTTTATGTAGTGATACATTTAATGAGAACTCCCCGCCTTCAAATGATCCAACATACATCTCAATGCTTGGTGCTGCAGTCTATAGAGCTATGTCACAGGGAGACAAAGATGCAGTGTGGTTAATGCAAGTATGGTCCTCAATCTCTCACCTGATCCATCCTTCGGTATTTAGACGTCCAATTCCACTTTCCCTTGAAAGTGATGTTAACATAGCTAAGCTATTATTGGTTTGACTGATGGTTCTCTCAGGACAAATTCTTAAGATGTACATAAATTTTTGCCAAAACTCATGATTATTTCCTGTGGCACCATGAAACAAATAGAGATAATTTACGGTCGATGACAGAGGTAAACTCCAAATTTTGAAAAGGCATTCACTTGGGTCAAATGAACTTTAAAACTCTCCAAGACCTCTGATTGCATGTCTTTTTCTTGCAAGCTTTGGTTCTTTTACAAGTTCTTCTTTAGGTCTAATCTTGCTATATGTAAACAAACTTTTCTGAGACTCTAATATTCATGTGGTACTATACTGAAATTCTAATGTGTGCAGGGTTGGCTCTTTTCTTCAGACTCTGCCTTTTGGAAACCACCTCAAAAGAAGGTATGTTTGTCCCTGAAGTACATCATGTGTTTCCTCTGCTTTCAGACTGCATGACTAGATTAGTCTTATTGGTAAATGGAACAACTGTAAGCGCATGAGCATTGACCTTGTGTTCTATTATGATCAATAGTGTTTATGTACTTATTTTAATATTCTTCCTGGATATATGTTTATGTTGAATCTTATCTACTATTTCTTTGTTGCCTAATAATAATCAGTAAAAAGAAAGAAAGAATAGCTGATGCAGTGCCCTATAACATTTGCGGAGTTGCGTTCTATTTGTGTTGGCTTTCTTTGTCAAGACAATGTGTGTGAAAACATAAAGTTAGTCCTTTTGGCTTTGCTTGGTTGTTAACAGAAATGGCTGTTGAAGGAAATGTATGATTGATTAGTTACTTCATAGAGCTGTTACTAAATGAAGCCAAAGAGTTTGGGTCGTCTCATAAACATCTCTTTTTTTTTTCATACATAATGAAATTTTTGGGGATTGGTTTATCTGGATACTTAGTCTACAATGTAATGCCCTTGGTACAATAATGAACGTGTGAATGTGCCTTTCTAAATAATTATTTGAGAAAGTATCCTTTTTTGCTTGATTTTATGAGTGAAATGTTAATTTTAAAACGCTTCAAGCACCTAGTGTCTACACTGCCATGAAAGACAGTTACTTACACTTAGATGACATGTAAATAAAAGACCATGTTCTGGGAAATACAGAAGCAGCCGGAATTCTTCAAAGTATGTGATGTCCAATTGATCAACATTTACCGTTGTAAGTTGGGTTTGGTTCAGCAGTGGATAAATCGGAATTGAACCTGAATATTCGTTAACTTTTTGGTGCTCAAATTCTGTCAGTCTTGCTCGCTGTGCTTTCGCTGCACACAGGTAGCGGCTGATATGATAACAATGAAATTTGTGATATGTGCAGGCACTTCTGCATTCTGTTCCAGTTGGTAAAATGATAGTTCTTGACCTATTTGCTGATGTCAAACCAATATGGGAAACTTCTGCTCAGTTCTATGGTACTCCTTATGTCTGGTAATTAGCTCTCATAGTTAATTAATCCATATGTCTGGTAAACTTCTGCTTGAGCATTCAAGACTCGATAGGAAACTTACCACTTATCCATGACTTTTTCCTTCTCTTCTGAAAATTGAGTAACAATTATCAATTCAGATCCTTAATCGTTGATGTGTATCAGGTGTCTTTTACATAATTTTGGTGGAAATATCGAAATGTACGGCGTATTGGATGTCATATCATCAGGCCCAGTTGACGCTCGCATCAGTGATAATTCAACTATGGTATGTCATACCAGTATTTGCCTCCTATGTAGTGTTCAACTTTCATATATACGTACGTACATACGTATGTATGTATGTATGTAGATGCTTGAAGGAGAAGCTATATATAAACTAATAATATCAGCTACTTGAAATGTTATTGCTCTGATGACAACTTCATTCTTCCTAAAGCAGACTCACTTATAATCTATTCCTTCCAGGTAGGTGTTGGCATGTGTATGGAGGGCATTGAACAAAATCCCGTTGTTTACGAGTTGATGTCGGAAATGGCATTTCGGAGTGAAAAAATTCTTGTTGTGGTAACTATGGCTTTCTATCTTTTGCTTCTTGTTTGTTTTGTGAAGTAGAATGACATATCGTCTTTTTCTTGAAAGAAGGAACATCTCCACATCTTCTACTTTCTATAATAGTGTCTTTATTTGCTAAACTTATTACCTCAAGAAAGGAAGTCTTCTGCAAACGCCTTGTTTTTTGGTTGCCTCCAACTTATGCTTTTCATGCTGACATGTCTGCCAGAAGATACTCATCTGAAGAAGGATGGAAATTTTGATTTTTGTCTTCCTTAGAAGAGCTTTTAGGATCGATTGCAAGGCTATGCGGGCCGAGTGCCTAGAGGCCTGAGAAGCCAACTATTTTTTGGATAGCTTGGCTATGTGCCAACTCTGACTTCATTTCTTTTTCAGGAGTGGCTGAAGGCTTACTCTCGAAGACGCTATGGTAAGACGGTCCATCAAGTTGAGGCAGCTTGGGAAATACTTTATCACACTATCTACAATTGTACAGATGGAATTGCTGTATGTCTCCTAAAACTTCTATCAATCATCATGTACAGTATTTTCCTTCTTCGGTTTTCCAGATTTTGCTTTTGAAATGCTTCATCACTCAGGCTGCATATTATTTTGTTTTACTTCCTAGAAGAGGATAGTCAAGAAATTTGTTTGACAATATTTCTCAACGTCAAAGATATGATGTATCTGATGTATGCTAGCTATAAAGAAAGTCTTATGCTTTTCTGAATGTTCCTTACAATGCACAAGATGCTCTTTGAGTGGCTACTCAAAGATGAATATGATTGGTCACTTTGAAACTGAACTGGGTTGCACTAGCATCTTCTGATGTGAGCTTTTATCTGCAACTAGGGCTTCTGATGTTTCCTACTTTATGATTTTGACATGGTTTTTGTATTGCCTAGCAGCATTTTTTACAGATTAATGAGCATTTTTGTCTCTAAGATCAATTTCTGGCAAAAACCACTGTTTCTTTCCTTCAGGACCATAATACAGATTTCATAGTCAAGTTTCCGGACTGGGATCCATCAACAATCTCGGCATCTAGCTTTGGAAAGCAAGAGAAAATGCTATTGCCCATTAATCTGCCCCCTGCTAGAAGATTTTTGTTTCAAGTGATGGGCTCTGACTTTCCTCAGGCACATTTGTGGTATTCTACTCATTACGTGGTTGATGCTTTGGAGCTTTTCCTTGACGCTGGGAATCATCTCAAGGAAAGTCTACCATTTAGGTAGAATCTCAGACCTTGTTAAGCTTTGCTTTTTAAAATTTTCTCACCTTTCTACATAAAAAGAGTGGATGACCCAGCGGAAGTACCTAGGAAATCACAATTGCCTTTTTACTAGGTAGATTTAACATGAAGAACTTCATTGCAAATATATGTCTTTGAGCTTAAAAAAGAAAGGCAGAGCTGATTGAATTTGATTTTTGCTTTTAGCAGGGTCATGCTAATTTAGAAAGTTCATTTATCTTATTCTCAGTTGTTTTAATGGGAATCATATGATTGACGGGCAAGTCCACTATGAGAGTCTTCTAATCTAATGTTTCTACCTTTCTTCGTGTCCATTGTGGTAAATTAATTTTTACACTTAATGATTTAATGCTTATCATGATTCAATTAATCATTGCCGAAACAATTATTGGTCATTCTTCTTCCATAAACTAGGTTAGAATGATTTTCTCATGGAGTGTACCATGTTAACAGGTATGACTTGGTCGACTTAACACGGCAAGTACTATCAAAGCTAGCAAATAAGGTATATGTGGATGCTGTGACTGCTTTTCAGCAGAAGGATGCTAAAGCTCTGCATTTTCACAGCAAAAAATTTCTCCAACTTATAAAGGATATCGATTTGCTGCTTGCATGTGATGATAATTTTCTTCTTGGGACATGGCTTGAAAGCGCCAAAGCATTAGCAGTGACTCCTAGTGAGATGAGGCAGGTTAGTCTTGGTAACTATCCTCAGTGGCTAAATCGTCCAATATAATTGAAGCGATTAAGCACGGTGCGGATCTGTATTGATGTGGATAATGTACATACATCCGGAGTTCCCTTTGATCAGAAACTGTGTTGTCATTTGCCCTTCCATTTATTTGTATAAACTCCTCTCTCTTTTGGATCTCTCAGCAGAAAGCTTAGTTCAATTAACACCCATAAAGTTAATTCGGAATATGCATTTTCGCATGATAAAGGAGATGGGTGTCTAATTGTTTTTTCTGTGATTTTTTTATCTCAGTATGAATGGAATGCGAGGACCCAAGTCACTATGTGGTATGATAACAATCAAACAGTTCAGAGCAAGCTTCATGATTATGGTACGTCTTGTACCTACTCCTGTCTGTATATCTGTATGCGTGTTTACATATGCTTGCATGCTTGTGTTTATACACACTTCTGGATTTGTGTGCCTTTGTTACTTGATAAGAGAGTCTCCTATCTTTGATCAGCAAACAAGTTCTGGAGTGGTCTCCTGGAAGACTATTACCTGCCACGAGCGTCAAGCTACTTTTCTTATTTAACCAAAAGCTTGAGAGAGAATGAGAAATTCGAGTTAGAGGAGTGGAGAAAAGAGTGGATATCATACTCAAACAACTGGCAATCAGAAACACAAATTTACGCAGTGAAGGCAAAAGGAGATGCCCTTGAAATTGCCAAAACATTGTACAAGAACTATTTCGGTTAGCAATCCAATGGTCCAGCCTATCCTCTCTTCTTAGATTGCTCATCTAGTTTACCATTTCTCTGTAACTTTCTGCGTCAGCCCGAGAGAAGCTTCTCTGTAACTTTTTGCCAGTTGACTTGATTGAAGATGTTCTGAATCTAATAAAATACTTTTTCCCTGTTAGTAACATAATGTGTGATTCATTGATTGTTATGGTCGTATGATGTCACGGTCTATTCTCTGTTCTTACATTGTTTGGTCATAACAAGTGCCATTCGACAGTGTTGCTCTAAAAGGCAATGAGGTTGCCTACATCATTCGTTACTGCAACTTGAAAACCTCACAATCGCAACATTACATCATTTCAGCTGGATATCCAAAGCTAGCCCCCGTCACTTTGTGCTATTTGTGGGACACTTAGTATGTCCAGTACCAGCCTACCAGGTACTGTGCTTTGGTCTTTCAAGGCGAAAGCGATTTTGGTCATTAGTGGTGGGTCGTTTTTCTGCAGACACCGTAAGAGCTTCTGACCAAGAAGTTAAACCATATTATTATGCTGACCATGTTGAAACCGTTTATAAGCTGGCTTACGCTATTACCAATGGTTGTGAGTCAACTTTCAAAACCACTGAGAATCGATTGATGCCACATAATTAAGAGGTTGTTAAATAGTCATGTTAGGGCATCAGCCTTGCTCATTGTTGAACATCAATAAACTAATGATATGATGGTCAACGTTGATAAAATTAATCATTTACTTCATCTTGTTACTTTGACATTTTTCATCCAATGGCCCCCCCATTCTCATGTATACCACCCCTCAAACCAATTCCATTGAATATGTATAATTCGCTTTCTCTATCTTCTGCATCTTCTGGCAGCTACTTCTCTGCTATCGGGGGGCTTCCATCACTGTCGATACCTCCCTGACCTTCTCCGTCATTGATCGCATCCTCATGTTTGTCGATCGAGGAGATACTGCCACCGATAGCAGTGCTAGTCTCAGTGGGGCCATCTAGTCATAAGATGGATCTTGGAATACTTACCTTGCCGCTGAGATGCAAATGTTTAGGAATATCAGATTTATGTTGTACGCTTCCCGAGACCGATGAATCTGTCTGTGTTAAAGTCACTGCTAACAAGGGCTCTAACAAAAACGACTGATTCTGGCTATTCCTTTCCTTCTCCTTCCTCATCTCCTCCAACAAAGCTTTACTCGTGTCTATGCCTGTTTCATCATCAGAGAGAACGTGTCACGAGCCACGTCTTAATTCTCTCTGTCAAGATATTCGCTCAATTCCAGAATGAAGTACATATACTACCTGCGAGGTATCCACCATGTACATAACCGTTGAATCTTTCGCTTGTGTGTTCACCAGTGAAAAAGATGCGTCCTACCGGTGCCTGAGAACATACAGAAAATGTGCTTCAGTTTCAGGTACAGCTAAAAGCTATTTCAAGTAGTGCTAGGGCCAACAAATTTCTAGTTGCCTTGGAACAACAAAAGAAAAAATAAACCTTATTCTAGTTGCTTCTCTTAGGACATCGTAAATGTAAACGAATCTAAAGCTACTAGAGATTTTACATAATAACTAACCCCTAAGGGATTGATTCAGAAGGACCAACATCTTTTGTCAAGCCATAAATAACAACTTGTCTTAAGCTTTGGATATCCAGAAGTGAGAATTATACTGATCAACATATAAACATGAAAACAGGAACATGCGGGATTCGTAGTATTTGAAAGATAAGCACCTACCTTAATGTTTTGAACAACCTGATGATTGAAAATGGCGGGGTAGTTGCTGTAGCTGCCTCGCTGGAACCTGTTATTCCACCAGCGGGGCACGAGTATATCAGTGGCATTAGGTATATTGGGCCCAAACATGTCCCTAAGCACCTCCATGGCCTCTTTCAGCGTTTCTTCGTCAGATTGATTCTCCACACGCTTTGATTCTCCATTTGTCAATGTCACAACAAGAATATTGGAACCAGGGTATGCATTCTCCATGTGCTGATGACATGCCCAGAGATAAACAACACAATCATCTTTATCAGATGAGTTTCCCCCGACGCATTACACGGTCGATTAAAATATTGCTCGAGATTCCACATCACAGCAAATTAAAGAATCGAAATGTAATAATGACGGTGAGATCCCCAAATCTTCCATCAGACGCCACGTGTGGCAGATAACATTTTATAGTGTTCTCCCAATTGAAGTAATGGAGATATTACAATCATATGGGTTTGAAAACTGATGGCCGTACTTAATATCGGTACCTCATCAATAAACAAATTGGCTTCAATTGTAAGTTAATCCCAGAGTGCAACCAATACCACCAGCTTTCAGAAAATGACAAAAACATCATGCACATCCCCCTCCAGCCAACGACTATACGCAACTCAAAGTATAATAAGCTCTTGACTATTTAATATTTGTAGATGGCTGCTATATTATGTAAGAGGAATCAGCATCACAGTAAGGTGTAATGATGAATAGATGTAATGCCACGCATATGACGGACTCCTCTACACTCTTGAAGAGAAATAAAATTGTTTCAAACATATAAACCACTTCTAATATTTGAAAACAAAAAGGCTGGATATGAAATCACAGGTCCTAATACAGAAAACTAACTACATGAATAGCAAAGAGCTAATGCACATGTATTCGGTATCATCAAAATGAAGTAGTTCCAGCTTTCTGACACAGAGAACTTTCCATCGATGAACGAGTCCTAATAAATAAAAAGACAGCATATTTTTCCAGCCAACCGTGAATTATTCAATAACATGGTATGACTTTAAGAAAAATGTGTTCTACGCACTGGTAGGAACATAATTTGACATGTAACATATCACCAACGATACATCTAACAGCTCGATTTACTAGCTAGAGGCCCATGTGCTCCCATTGTTAGGGCAGAAGTATCATAACAGTTCCTCGCTGTTTTAGCATACCATAGAGATCGCAACTATCGAATATTACTCTAGACAATAATACCACTCTTTCTTATGCAAAAAGCGCAGCTTATATAAATGCAGTGGCTTGTCTGATTATTCAGTGGCTCGGGACCCAGCAGAACGACAATTAAAAAATAGCATAATCGACTCCTTTCCATTAAACTAGGGTTTTTTTTTTTTTTGAAGTTCACCTTATTGATGCTTGAGAAGTAGTCCAGTATACTACTTGTTAACAACACCAAACATGTTAACTTCAAAATATTGGGCACACAGTTTTTTCACACTTTCTAAGATCCCCGGAGGATGACATCAATAAGCACTCAATTCCCCATGAGAGAAAAACTCTTAGGGCCAAGAAAATCGGAAGAAGAAAGAAAAACCATTAGCTGGCTACAAAAGTTTTGTTAACAAACCTGCCAAAATGTGTAATAACCTCTCCGTTCGTGTGCATATATGAAGAACTCTTTCTCGGGTCCACAAGGCCAGAACTTATACGGAAACTTCAGGAAAATTTTCGTGTAAACCATCACGTCAAGCTTCTCTATCGCCTCCATCTTCCATCTCTGTCGGGCATTATTTTCCAAATAAGTGCTACTTCATCGGACCAAGTAAAATAGACAATATATAGATCAAACATCACTCAGCTTCTTTTGAAGACCACCAACAAAGAGAACCCGTAATCATAATTGTTGCTTAATCCCCTAGACATCGTTAAAGATGTAAATTTTCAAATGGATACGTGCAGTAGTAACTTTTATATTTAATCCTAAAGAACAGCAAGTGTTTTGGCACAAGATAACATCCAAGGATTCATAGGTCCTGAATTCTACCACGATAAAACGATTCTATTGGAATCAATAACAGTTGTGCAGTTGGTTCTGGCTACTATCTGAACCGAAAACATGAAGCATTCATAGGCATAAATCAAGGAAAGGTCCAGGATGAGACATTGCTATTGCTAGTCTTCTAACCTCTCAGAAAAGAGAATTCTACACTATGCATTAAAATACCCAATCTTCCAATTGGCATATAGTGCAACCAGCTGTCACCACATGCAAAATGGATTCCGGGAATATTGAAACCTCCATAATCGAGGTGTGCCAAAGCGGAAAGTCCACAGCCACCAAACCACAGCACCCATTTAGAAAGCATGGTTGGTAGTAATAAACTGTGGTCATGCAACCGTGGTATTTGCCTTGTTCAAAGGAAAGGCCACCTCGAAGATCTGCGTCTTACTACCGGGGACAACCACTACGAGTGAGGTCAATTTAATATGTAAGATAGCTTTCCGAGGCTTTCAATACTGACAATTAACTTGATGATTGAAATAAATTTGTGGGCCACAGCTTGAATATCAAGAACTTCTATGAATATTAACTACTTTCGTAGAGCAATTGGATAAATTAAATGGTCGAGACCCGGTAAACGCAAGGGAAAACAAGGACGACATTATAACCAAGAGATCTTTTTCAGTATGTTTACAGGTTCATTCAATCAATCAAAAGCAGCACTTTGCGCAAAAGTGCTTCGCAGTAGTTATTAGAATCTTGTTAGGAACTTTCCCATATTAATTGTAAGGCGCAATAATTTCGATTGTGCTAGTTTTTCAATATTATTTATGTGATTTCAGTGCACTCTATGGACTTTTAAAAAATTAGGGATAGAAAAGGAAGATAGTGAGAGAAATAAGAATGAAGGGAGATGTGTTACGGGCATTGATGGCCTGAACAAGATGAGGTCACTCTGGAGAACTCCAATGCTAACGGACAAAATCGCGTAATTGGCATTGTAGACACAACCATCTTCCGTAGTAACAGTAACTCCGGTTCTCGAGTGTTGTATTTCCCGGACAACCTGCCCCAAATCCATGCACAGATGTAACAGGCAAAAGTTAAAAATCAAATTAAAGCCCGGAGAATCAGATGCAATGGCACTAGCACCCAATGAAGATAGAAAAAGTTTATCAACATATCTGAATGAGAACTGTGCAGTGGTCAAACAAAAAGAATCATTGCCCAAGTGAAGTTCGTTCACTCACAATCTGACATTACAGAAATATTTAAATTGTGTAGAGTCGAAATGGTCCCCACTAAATTCCACCAACGCGCTAGTCATCTATTTTCTTCATCCTTCTTGCATTTGAATTTGAATAGGCAAGGAAACACCACATTAAATGGAGAAAATGACAACACTTCATGGGTTCATGTTCTTCTATTTGAGCGGTTTTGACCGCTCCACCTATTGACTTCTACATGAGGTCATCAAATTCACTGTATATGCTAATAGACATTGGCCAATTGGCCCAAACTGTTGCTCAATGAGTGGCACGAATTCTTTTTTCAAAATAAGACGTTGATAACAGGACAAAGACGTAAAAGGGTTGCTTTGCTTCCCCACTAGAATCGCATGGACGTGGAAAATTATTTACACTCGGTACATTAAGGCCCAATGTATACAATATGTTGGATCATATCGATCCCACATCAGATTCATGCACTCGGCTTTTGATTTCAAGTGCAAGACTCTAAAGCAATATCGATATTAAAAGGATCCCGTAGGTAAAAAAAAGAAAAACTGTCCCACACTTGATGAGGTAGAACCGGGACTATAGTATCCCAAATGTATACAATATGGCAAAAAAATTAAAAAGGGCTACAACAGCTTCTTCTTTTTTTTCTTTTTCTTTTTTTTGGTCGAGGGCTAAAACAGCTTTTAGGGAACGTCGTTATCGACAAACTCCAAGGATGGGCCAATCAGTCCCTAACAGCCAAGTGAGAAAACCGTGCAACCATACAAAACAGAACTTCGGATTTTTCCGCATACTTTGTGATCCTTTTTTATTATTACCATAAACCATTCTCCGTCATTTAGTTTCCGTCTGATGATTGGATGATTAAAAAAACAAAGAAAAGGTAAGGCATCATCTCCTAAATAAACAACAAAGATAAAAACAAAAAGGATAAAAGAAGACTTTGTTGTTTACCTTATTGAGTTGAAGACGACTGTCCAAAATCTTGCCCTCTGACGTAAAAAGAAAATCTTGCGCCATTTTGTATAGCAAATTCTCATATCCCCTCTCATCCGCCACTAAAAATTCTCGCTCCCCATAATCAAGAAAAGTCGATATAGGCTGGACCTCTGCCGAAGAAGAAAAACGAAAAGGAAAAACTCATCGGCATGTATGTACACATCCACTTGTTAAATGAACAAATAGCGTCAAAGGCCAATTAACTAAGAATCGGGCGTGTCAGGAAGCAGGTGAAGACAATGACCGAAACAAAAGAAGGGCAGACGAGACAAAATTTCACCGAGGACGACCTCACAGTCCCAACTGACGCAGTGACTCAGTTCAGTGAGATAAGAGGGTTTTAGCTTCTTTGGGGAAGAAACCAAATGACACGAAAGAAAAAAAAAATCCAGAAGAAGAAGAAGAAGAAGAAGATCACAAGGAGCACGTTCTTCCACTTTCATTTTCACCCCTGTAGAGAAAACCGCTTCGCTGCCGAATAAGAAGTTTTCAGCTCGACTCATAAGGCGACTAACCTGGCATCTCGAAGTCGTGAAGAATGAAGTCGATGGCGAGATCAATCGGCGACTTCGGCGTCCTAAACATGCACAAAAGAGGGAAACGAATCACGCACGGTGGAAGACAAAATCGGAAGGCATAAAATTGCGCAGGAGAGGGAATTACGGAGGAGGTTGCTCCGTATCTCCGGAGAAGTCGCCACCGCGATCCGTTTCCTGCTGGTTTCTCAGCTTCTCGATAGCCGAGTCCACCGCCTTCTCGTACGAGTCGGCGGCGAGTCCACTCGGGAATATCTTCCCGCTGAAACGAGCAAACTCCGTTAGCATCAAAAACCGAACTCCACTTGCGGACGGTGAATAAGAATTGCAGAACGAATCATGCTTCGCTTCAGCTTAGATTCACGCTCGAACGCCACAAATGCCGTACCGAGAAAAAGCTTAAAATCGAAACGAAAAACAAACGCGCCAAGCGGCAAGCCACCAAAATATACCGCCAAACCAAAAATGGTCAAAATCTCCAGCAAGTCCTTCCAGCTTATCGCGACCGCAGAAAACCTCGAAAGGAGAAAAGGAGAGAAAAAAATAATAATAAAGGAAGAGAGAGAGAGAGAGAGAGAGAGAGAATCGGACCTGCGATCGTAGATGTTGTAGCGAGCATTACTGTAATCGGAGAAGCACGTCCGGAGCGAGGACTTGGCGGCGAGCTCCCAGACGGGATTCGGCACCTTGCCTCCGACGCCGACGATCCAGCCGGCGCCGAGCTCCACCGACACGCCCCCGAACGCCTCCTTGCGTATCCTGCCTCCGATTCGGTCGGTCGCCTCCAGGATGACGATGTCCTCCACCCCGTTCTCCGCCAGAACCTTGGCCGCCGAGATACCTGAACAACGTAGACGAGGCATCATCAGAGAGCGAGCCCCGCGCGGCGACGAATGTCAAAAGGAGGAAAAAAAAACCGAGGCGAAGACGCGCCGCGGCCGGGCGGTGGCGGGGGCGGCGCGTACCGGAGACGCCGGCGCCGACGATGATGACGGAGGAGCGAGACGGAGGATCCATGAGGGAGGGGGAGGGAGGGAGAGGGAGGTTGTGGGCGTTGGGGGGGTGCTGAGTTGGGTTGCGTTGCGAGGAGGAGAGGGGAAGAAGTAGCGGGGGGAAGGGGGTTTATATAGTTTTCTCGCTCCCCCCGCTCGCCAATGCCTTTTACGTATGCTCTGGTACGACCGGAGGGGGGAGGGGGGAGGGGGGGGGCCGGGAAACGGACGCGGATCTTCGCAATGACGGTGGGGAGGGCGTTATGGTCATTTTGCACGGGGGGGCGGATTCGGGAATTCAATTCGCTTGTGGGGGGGGCGCGTGGGGTGGAGCTTTTTTTTTTTTTTATGGGACGGTTGGCGTACGGCATTGAAGAAGGTCTCCGGGGAGGCATGACTTGGCACGTGCGGCCCGCTTTTGGCCCGTGCGAATTCGGGCTGGGGGGGATTCTTGGAAAAAACCAGATGGAGTTTGCGTCCTCATAAGTGCTGGGTCTCCAAGAGATAGATAAATCGCCCGTCTCTTAGGATGGACTCTCGTACGTTTATAAAGTACGTGACTACTCAGCACCGGTAGGAAAGATGTGTCTTATGCGCCGGCCGTGTGGTTAGTGTTGTATGACCGACATCGATCGCTTTACTTGCGTACCCTGTATCTCGACTCACAAGTCGCTTGATTTCGAAATTGCCTGCTTTTTCATCCGGCTTGTCACGCAAATTACAAATTAATCTAAGAGTCGCGTTAAAATGTTACATTGAAAAACTATGGCCCTACCTTCCGACCAAATATTCAATCCACCATCGAGCATCCGCGGAAGTATTTACCCGGTTGTAGAATATAGAATACGAAAAGGAAAAACGTATTAAAGCTTCGATAGCTACTCCGAAGAGATAACATAAAAAAGTCTACGCGCCAATCTTTATATATTCGAGGTTTTTCAAAAAATGGTACAAATTCTAATATGAGGAGGTCAAAAAGGGTGCACTGGAATCGGGTGATCTAATAATAATAATAATAAGGTGGATAAGGCTGAATTGGAATCTATCTTGCAAGAAATTATAAAATTAAAATTGAAATAAAATGCGGGTAAGAAATTGTTCAAAGAAGAGGGGAAGGGGAAGGGGGATGAAATTTGAGGGAAATGTATGTGCGGACGTGTGGGGGTTGGTGGGGTCAATGTCGAAGAACGCGAAAGGCGTTTGACGCGGAATCCCCAAAATCGGGGCGTCCCTCTGCTGTCGCTGCTAGCCGTGACGGCTCCGATCTTTTAACTATTTTAAATCTCAATGCATGTGGGGGAGCGAGCCAGCAACTCTTTTTAATGATTCTGGTTTTTTTTAGTCCCGATTCTTTCTTTCTTTTTCTTTTCTTTTTCGATTTTAAGGAATACCCATTTTAAATCCGTGAATTTTTATCATAGAAGGTAGCATCTGTAAACTGATCCGGGATTTTGTCAAACACAGTCGAAGTAATAATTTGCACAAGAGGTGATTCGCTCGGCAAGCAAACTCCCAAGGGAAATAGGAGGTACGTGACTCTTCCCATTTCGGGTGTTACCGAATATATGATTCAGTTAATCAAGAATCACGGCATGCCATCGTCCTTGCAGGTTTCGTGGAATTCGCGAGACCATGGAAGAATTCTTTCCGAGCGGAATCAAGAAAAGTCCTGCTCATTTCGTCGAATTTCTAATAATGTTTACTGTTGAGAAAAATATCCTTTATCTAAGCATTATCCACTGAGCAGAAACTCATTGATTTTCCTCTAATTCGATTGGATGATGATGATGTTGATGGCCTTGAGCCCAAAGCGACCGAGGGGCGGGTCCCTTCCACGTCCCTTTACCCTCCCCCGAAGCGAAAAACCAGACGAAATTTAGTGACGCCTTTCGTCCTCTTCTTCTGTCCCCTTTTCATCACGTTGAAGGGAAGGAAGATTTGGGGCGTTCTGTGTCGCGATGCGTGAAAAGTTTCACCTGGTTTTCTATTAATGAACCCGGGTCGACATGGCTTATCAACGCGATGTGCATTCAATCCTGATTTAGAGAATTGGCACGAAATCCGCGGTGATCGCCATCGATTTGTCGCGAATCGAGACTCGTCGAGTTGGCTGGCGATCACGACGGGCAAAGGATAGAGCCGGGAGCCGCCGCCGTTAAGGGATAGGTGAGAATCGGCACATATGCCCCCCCCTAACAATCCATTACTTGGAAGAAGCTTATCTGATCAAATTCCATTTGGGCCTATTAGTCTAATCAAGCTTTGCAATATAGTCAAGATTGCACGAGGATTCTCAACGATTAGGAAATCGCCTAATGTGAACCGACCAAAATGTCTCTAACTTCGAGGTAATTTATTCAAGGGAAAATATCACAAAAAACCTCAAAATTATGCCACTTATGACAAATTTACCCTGAAACTTTTTTTTGTAACACGAAAAACCCCAAACTATGCCACTTATGATACATTTATCCCACAATACTTTAGCCAATGAGCATTTTCGTCTTTTTCATTTTTCTGTTTTTTTTTTCCTTTTATTCACTCTTCCCTCCGCCGTGGCCGGCGGAGGGAAGCCAGCGAGGGCGACCCTCGCCGGCGTCGGGCAGGCAAGATCTGGCGAGAGTGACCCTCGCCGGCGTTGGTCGAGAGTCACCCTCGCCTGGGCAGGCGAGGGCAGCCTCACCCGATGCCGGTGAGGGCAGCCCTCGCTTGAGTCTGGCGAAGTCGCCCTCGCCGGATCCGGCGAAGGCAGCCCTCGCCGGCTTCCCTCAGCCATGACCGGCGGAGGGAAGAGAGAGAAGGGAAAAAAAAAAGGAAAAAAATAGAAAAGGAAAAAAGACGAAAATGCCTTTGGGCCAAAGTATTGTGGGGTAAATATGTCACAAATGGCATAATTTGGGGTTTTTCGTGTCACAAAAAAAAGTTCAGGATAAATTTGTCACAAGTGGCATAGTTTTGGGGTTTTTTGGTAGTATTTTCCATTCAATCAATGAAGTTAGACTTTAACCCCGTCTCCATCTCTTCCTCTCGTATGATCCAATCGCCGTTTTCATTAGCTCAAATCCAATAGCAGGTAAATCCGGCCAAAACCCTGCTACAACTGGTATACATTGTCCCATAGAGAAGCATTCGTATGGAAAATGATCTATGCTCGCAATATTTTCATGGCATCTAATGCAGACGATGATCAAGACCACGTTGTGCCTTGTACAGGCTAAGTAAATTACATTTCAATCGAGTATCTATACACATGATAACTATATAATTAAGCATAGATGACATTTGACTTATCTCTATGTAGTTGCTATACATCCGGTCTCACATGCGGTGGCCCATATATCCAAAAATAGCTTTTGAATTCGAGTAAATTTGTGCAATTTTACCAAACACATGATATCCATGTAGATCAAGAGACTAGGAATAGAGGAATGCTTAGCCGATTTCTAGCGGTTCAACCCAAATGGGTGCGTGCTCCATTGCCCGAGTCCGATCGAGAGTTTCGCCCAATCAACTCTAGTCGAAAGCTCGTACGAAAGTTGGTTTGCTGAAATTCCACAAATTCCCCCCTTGAAGGGGACGACCAAAGCATCAAATTTCTCCCCCTTTTTTGTAATCAAATCAAAATTAGGGGTATCATAAACACATAAAGAACACCATATTATTAAAATAAAATACTAAACAGGGAGATGAACCATTCACATAATCCAGACAGACCAAGCTGAAGTAGAATTGAAAGACAACAAATGGTCATACAAACCCAAAGATAGTCAAAGGAACATCATAACAACGACGAGGATTCATTGGGAAGGCAAGAGAGTTGATCAATGAGAGTTGGCTCCGTGAACACCCAACTTTTCTTCATGCTTTCGACAAGTGGATTGCATGTGGACCGAGCCACTATAAATCAGTTCGAGCATTTCACCGTCCCAACACTCTTCACACGCGTTTGATGAAATTGCCCAAGCTACATTTGCATTTATCTACTTAAATTTCAAAAGCATATTTCGAATATCTAGGCCAATAGCGCATTCTTGAATGATCTTAAATTTAGATATAATTTATTTTACGAAAAATAAATGATTTAAAAAATATTTTTCTTTAAAAACAATCGCTTATATTGTCATTGTATTTACCTCAAGCCTGACATTGAACCAGGTATTTGGTCTCGAGCAAAAGAATTTCCCCGAAATGTCGGCAAGTAGCTCTGTACGAAAACCTGCAACTAACATCAAGACAGATTCAATGTGTACTCATTTCGTGCTTTCCTACTGACTCGGCGTCTCGCTTGAAGAACGAGTTGACACGTGCAAGAAGGGATGCCAACTTCATCGTCTACAAAAGTGGCAAGCTTTTGAATACTAGCGAAACCCACCTCACAAGATCCTATTCAGACCCTCCATCTTTGGGAATAACCACGCCATCTTTTTAAAAACAACCACCATAAATATCAATCGTCATCTCGGATTTCTAGTACTTGGATAAACATTTTTAAAAAGTTACGACATTCAAGTGATCGATTGAAAAATTATATAATGTAATCCAAAAAAAAGTTACGACGCTAAAATAAGCGTCTTACGTACGATATGACACTTGCGATATCTTTTACCCTTACATCTTGAATGATCTCTTGCTAGCATAGGCTTAGCTGAATTGTTATGTCTGTATTGCACAAAGATTAAGTCGGGGAACCAAGCATATTACTGTATACAGTCGAATTTGAACAGTTCTATATTTTCTCTTTCGAAATGAAATACCTAGCTTGGCTCACACAGTACAGCTTGAGTAATGTCCGAGGAGGATAAAAGGCCCGTTCGGTTCGGCTTTTCAAATGCAACTCGGGGGAATGCAAATACCTTTAGGTGAAGCCACTTGGGGAAATGCAAGTGATGTTTGATAAAAAAAAATTTGCGAAGCTACTTTGGCCTAAGTAATGTTTGGTAAATTTTTTTTTGCAAAGGGCTTTGGCAATTTTTATTCTTAATATTCTGGTTTTGCCCCTATTACTATTCATCTTCTTCACCGGCGAGGGCGGATCTGGCCGGCGAAGGCCTGGCGAGGGACCGGCGAGGTCGCCTGACCTAGGCGACGGCCGCCTGGGGTCGGGCGAC